GTCATCATTTACCCAGAATGCTTTACATGTAACTAAAATGGCCCTGTCTGTGTAATATATTTTTAAACTTTTAGTTTAAAAATGATAAAAACTGAACATCCTACGGTATTTTACAGTCTTTATTTTACAGTTAAAATATGTGTTTATCAAATAAAGTCTAATGTTGCAACTAATCATGGATCCCTCTAAGGAAATTTATACGATAGAGCGAATGACCTTTATTCTCAGACTAAAAGAAAATCTCTTTATGATCAAATGGGAAAAATGGACACTATATGACACTCAAAAAGAGACTTATGGAAGCCCAGCACATCAAAGGACCCTTGTAGATCCTAGACACTTGTAACCTAGAGGTTTTGTTTTCTTTTGATTATTTAATTACATTTTATATATGTTCATCTCTGTATGTTCTATACATGGATACTGTGGGAGTGGCCTTTAAAGGTTACAATACTCTGGAAAATGTCTGATTTATCTTTACATGTCCAGTGAAAATGTTAATAAAAATTAAAGTTTAAAAAAATGTTCAGAAAACATGCAAAGACTACTGCTGTGTGTTTCTGCAGCGTGAGCTGTTTGACATGGAGTCCTGGGAGAGACCACGGGAGGAGTTCCAACTTGTCAGAAGGCTGGGAGAGGGACACTTTGGAGAAGTGTGGGAGGCGTTCTGGACCAAAGAGAAAAAGAAAGTAGCCATAAAGACACTAAAACAAGGTAAGATTCCTTTAACAAAGACTTGTATTTATTTATAAAACAAATTTATAAAGCAGCTCTGCACTTGCTGCTTTTTTTTTCCTGCTTCAGAAATAATCAGTTTTCCTGATTGAAAACAGCAGCCACTCCTCCACCTTGTGTTCTGGGAACATGAACATTTAGATAATTAGCAGAGTGGATTTATTTATCTGAATAAAATCATCCTGTTTTAAAAAGGTTTGGGTGAGTAACAGAGGTTGCTTCCTGGACTGGACCCTGGATCATGAATATTTTGGATTTTATAATAACAGTGTGTGTAAGCCATGTGAATAGATGAGATGCTCTTGGCTCTAATGTCAGATGACAGAATGACAAACACAACATTTTTAAGCCCCACTGCATGTTTTTCTGTTTGGTTTTTTGAAGCATCTCTAGCATCGTATTCAATGGAATCCTCTCTCACAAACAGCCAATGTGTAGTACAATACAACATACTGTATGTGTCTGTTTGTACAGAGGCTTGTCAGTTTTATGTCAGTTTGTACAAACAAAATGTACTGTGAATCATACGCCTGGATCTTTTCTCTGCTTATTTAAGTGAACACCTTGTTTTAGTAGGAAATCTAAGTATTTACATGGAGCCTCTGAAAGTCACATTGAAAGGATCCGGAGACTGGTTTGAGGTTAGGACTTTGACTGGACCACTGCACCAGCTGTTCTGTTGCACATTTGCAGTCGTGTTTGAGGTCACTGTCCTGTTGGTTCATGACCCAGTTTGGTTCAAGCTTCAGCTGTCAGAAAGGTATTTGTGCTGAAAGGCAGTTTTTTTTTGCCATTGCCAAACACACACTTGTAGATAAAATTCCTCACTTTGGTCTCGTGCGTTTAAAGGACATTGGGCCTCATGCAAGAACCGTTCGTACGCACAGATTTGTTCTTAAGTTGTGCGTACGAG